TGTTATTGTAAAAGCACTCCTCCAATAGTAAAATCAGATGCATCTGTTTGAACTTCGAAAGGCTTTTTCAATATCAAGGAGAGCTAAGATGGGATCCTTTCATAATAGCATTCTTCAATCCCTCAAAGGCCTCTTGGCACTTCACTCGTCCAACACCATTTATGCTCCTTCTTCAATAGCTCCGTGAAAATCGTGGTCTTACGAGAGTACCCTTTCACAAACCTTCTATAATAGTTGGTCAGTCCCAAAAAATGAACGGAGTTCACTAACATTCTTTGGTGTTGTCCACTCCTTGATGGCCCTAACCTTTTCCATGTCCATTCGAATATGATCACGTTCAACAATGTGATCGAGAAAATGGATTTGGGTTTGAGCAAATACACACTTCTTTTTTTTTACGTATAACTGGTGGTCCTATAACCTTCGAAACACCTGGCGTAGGTGTTCTTGATGTTCTTCCAGGGTTGAGCTATATACCACTATGTCGTCTAAATAGATGACTACAAATTTGTCTAGGTAGTTATGGAACACCTGATTCATCAACGTACAAAATGTGGCAGGAGCATTGGTCAGTCCAAAAGGCATAACAAGAAATTTAAATACACCATACCGTGTTACACAAGTGGTCTTTGGCTCATCTCTCTCAACGATTCTGATCTGATGGTAGCCAGATCTCAAGTCCAATTTGGAGAAGTACTTGGCTCGACTCAATTGATCAAACAAATCTACTATAAGAGGGATGGGATATTTATTTTTCACGGTGACTTTATTCAGGGCCCTGTAGTCAACACATAATCGTAAACTCCCATCATGCTTCTTCTGAAATAGCACTAGCACTCCGAAAAGGACCTTTGATGGTCTAATAAACTCGGCTTGTAGAAGCTCATCTAACTGTTTCCTTAGTTCGACCAACTCTGGCGGGGCCATACGGTAAGGGGCTTTAGCAAGGAGTTTCATTCCTGGGAGGAGTTCAATTTCATGGTCCACTGTTCGTCGAGGGGTAGAACCTTAGGCAACATCTCTGGCATCACCTCTTCGAATTTTTCCAACACTTTTGCCATGCCATCGGGTATCGATTCCACTCCCGACCCTTTTTGTAGATCGGTATGGCCACAAAGGAGGGTTCCCCTCTCTTTACCCCTTTTTTGAACTGTAAAGCTAAAATCATTTTCTTCCCACTCTTTGGCAAGATATTGGCCAACACCACACATGGGTGTTCCCCTAAAAATAACAAGCAGCTAGCGACGAGGATAGGGATCACCTGAGCTAACATCATGAAGTCCAATCCGAGGACGACATCAAAGTCATCCATGGAGGAAACTGTAAAGTCCACCTTCCCTTCCCATGGCCCCAATTTGGTTGTCACACTCTTGGAGCTTCCACTGATCGCAAAGGGTGGTGAATTGACTACCTTCATTCGTCCACAGTCCTTGCTAACCTGGAGACCACACCTTTTTGCTTCTTCTGGTGTGATGAAAGTATCGGTTGTACCCGTATCTACCATGGCCTTGATGGCCTTCCCATTGATCACTAAGTTCACATACATTAGGCCTCTACTCTGTTCTTTCTTTATCGTGTTTAGTTGGGTGCGGAGGGCATTGAGGAACCTTATTGAACCCATCCTGGCTAGTTTCTCTTCAACTTCTTCGACGCTCTCTGGCACTTTTATGGACTCTTGAGATGAGGTCCTTAAAGCATTAAGGGCTCCTCTGTGTGGGCATTCGGCCACCCGATGCGGCCCCTTGCAAAGAAGCAAGCTAGCAGTTGCCTAGGCTTGAAAATCACTGCGTTGCTTGTCTTGGGTTGGGTGCTATCTCGACCAAAGGACCTCCTGTCTGGTCCCCCACTGAAGGGTCGGTCCAACCTGGTCATTTTTTCCCCATTCCCAAAGTTGAAGCTACTGCCAGCTGATGGAAGATTTTTTTTTTGAGGAGCCATCATTATAATCGTGGAGACGTTCAGCTGCAGCCATGGCCGTGGCCATGTCTTGCACTTTTTGTCTTTGTAGTTCTGTCTTGACCCAAGGCTTGAGGCCCTCAAGAAAATAAAACATCTTGTCTTTTTCGGACATGTCTCGAATATCCAACATCAGGGTAGAAAAACTCCTTACAAACTCTCGCACTGTTCTTGTTTGCACCAATTTTTGAAGTCTTTTTCGAACCATATACTCCACATTCTCAGGAAAAAATTGGTTCTTCAGTTCTTGTTTCAGGTTCATCCAAGTCTTAATCAGACATTCGTCATTGACAAACTTGGAGCGCCACCATAGCTTAGCATCCCCTATGAGGTACGTCGATGCCATTGCTACCTTGTCTTCCTCTGAATCCGTGTGTACGGCTCGGAATTACTGCTCCATGTCAAATAAAAAATTTTCAAGCTCCTTAGCATCCCTTGCCCCTTCATAGCATCGTGACTTCGGCACCTTGGGTCTTTTTGCCCTTTCCACTGAGCTCGAACCCGATCTGGCCACAACCATTTGTAATATGCTCACCTGTGCTCTGAGCTCTTCAAACTCCTTTTGAAGAATATTCAAGGCATCTCTAGCCTCCTCGCTCACATTGTGAAGAGTATCGGACAACTCCCGCTGGGTTGTCTCGATCTCTCTCACTCTATCTTTAGTCGCCATGTGAGTTTTCATTGCGACCACCGCGGTCTCAAGTTCCTCAATTCTTTATTGGTAATTGGGTCCACCACTTGTGGCCATCTCTTCTATTTTCTAGCACTACTCAACCATGCTCTGATATCACGTGTCACGGACTAAGCTTTCTCTCAATAAGCAATAGATCGTACGGCACTTGCATGGACGCTTCCACTCGCTCATATTGTGAAGAGTATCGGACAACTCCCACTGGGTTGTCTCGATCTCTCTCACTCGATCTTTAGTCGCCATGTGAGTTTTCATTGCGGCCACCGCGGTCTCAAGTTCCTCAATTCTTTATTGGTAATTGGGTCCACCACTTGTGGCCATCTCTTATATTTTCTAGCACTTTTCAATCGTGCTCTGATATCACGTGTCACGGACTAAGCTTTCTCTCAATAAGCAATAGACCGTGCGGCACTTGAATGGACGCTTCCACCCAAGTCAGCCTTCAATGGTTTGATATCTGAACAAATAATCATAAGCCATGGTTAGTCCCAAGCATTCACAAAAAGACACATTATATCGAGATCAATCTCAAGCACACACAAGAAAGCATATTCACATCGAGAAAAAGAAAAAAACACATCGAGGTAACATTCGGGACATTCAATCGAGGTGAATTTTATTATAATCAAAAATCATACATCGGGACTTCCCAGCCCGACAGTACACTACCGACTCACCCTTCCTAAAGAGCCTTAGATAGCAACCGGTGAGACAACCCGACAGTACGTTACCGACTCACCCTCTCTAAAGAGCCTTAGAGATTTTAGAGCTATGCTAGCTGTAACCATTACAATATTTGAAATAGGGACACTTTTCCTAGCACAAGAGTTCTACCCGGTCATGGCCCTATACATGGGTGGCTCATAACAACCTAAGCCCCGGTCATGGCCCTATACAAGGTTGGCTCATGACACTAGATGTGCCTTATATAAGTCATAAGCAGCCTATAAGCCAACGGGTTACTCATGAGGCAATAACTAGGCTGAGGGGCTTAGCCCATGAGTTAAATGTCAATCAACGTGTTACAGGTCGAGACTTACGCTTCGACTCGCGACTCCGGGACTCGGACATTCACCCTTCCGACGTCTCAGATCAGCCTACCTACCACGGTTCACACGGTTTTGTCCTACAAAAAGCGTCTCACAAAGAAGATGTGGTGTGAACCTTTTTATATCCCAGTGACCCTCCTATTATATTCGATGTGAGATTCATGACTTTTCCTTAGGTCTGTGACATTCTCCCTCATCCAATCTCGTGATGCTCTCGTCACGGAGGCTGGTCACCCTACCTACCTCCCTCTCTCGAGGTACTTGACATGGATCGAACGATTTAGGGTTGATTTTGATACCAGTCCACCAGCCCGACTGGCCACACGGGTCTAGCAGCGTGCCTGCCTGCTAGCCCGCACATCCCTCTGGCTCGATGGCATCCCTCCTACGCAACACCATCACATGATCCTTCCGGCTCGAGGAGGGGAAACCGAGGGGCCTAGCGATCTCTACCGCCAAACCCCATGGCTCAACGCAAAGGCGCGATACGAGGCCCGCCGGCCCCAACCGTCTCCGGGTTTACCTTACCCGAGGAAACATCTTGCCACGCTCGTGACCCTACGATGCCCGCCCACCTAGACACCACGAGTGCCTAGGAGTAGCTCACTTCAGACTAGCCAGGCCCCCGCCTGCCTGCTAGCCAAGGGGGTGGTGGAGAGCTGACACCAGATCATCCCCCTATAAAGAGCGTTAGAGATTTTCCCACTACGCTACCAGTGACCGTAAGAATGTCTGAAACGGGGACACTTTTCTGCCCAGCCATCCTAGGGCCTTTCTCCGGCTAACTCAGGGCCCCGTAACCTTCCTCTTGGTCACCATTGCTCCTTGATTCTGCTCGTTGCTCCACCAACCCACTCGAAGGTGCCTGCACATGGCTTCCACCGATGGCACCCGCCAGGCTACTTGGCTTGAGGGTGTCCAACCACTGTCCCGAACTTCCCCGCGTATCTTGCGGCCCGGGGCTCCCATTGCCCCCACAACATGTTAGCATCATGTTCCAAAGCTCAGAATGCACGCCCACATCTCGTAGAACCACTTTCCCGCCAGCTCAGTCTTGACTGCTGCTTGGTTCAGGATCAGTCATGGCAGGACCAAGGCCTGACCGTCAAAAGTTGAGACTTAAGTTTCGACTCGCGTGGCTCCGAGACCCGGACATTCACCGTTTCGGTGTCTCAAATCGGCCTATCTATCATGGTTTATATGCTTGTAAAGTATTGTCTATTCTGATATTTTGATCTCATGATTTTATCTTGCAAAAAGTACTTGCGTAAAATTTTTTATATCGCAGTTACCTTCTTTCGATGTGAAATTCAAAGCTTTTTCGCAGGTCCGTGACACAACGCCTGTGATTCAAAGAAGGAAAGACACGGCGCATCGTATTATTGGGACCCTGCTTTGAAGACGACGGATATTCTGGAAGGCGGACAAGTGAGAACCTAAACTGAATGGGCCTGTTAAAACTTGGGTTTCGGAATCAACACTTGCATTTGCTTCACTTCGTTCCCAAATCTTTCAATGCCTCAAAATCAACGTTTTGGGTACAAAATCGGACCAACGATAAGGGTACCAAACTCTCGGCTTTATCTGATACTCTCAGAAGTAATCTGGTAATAGCCAAGGCTCTGGGTACTGAAGCAGTAGCTATAGCAGAACCGACAAAAATGGTCAAAGCTATCAGGGTTCATGAATTGGGTGGACCTGAGGTCTTTCTTTCCCTTTCTAATGCTTGATTACTTTGCTCTTGTAATTTGTATATGTTTTGATTGAATAGTTATTTGGGTAAATAAAAATCTATGCTTTTGTCGATTTCATGCTTAGCCACTTTCAGTTTTGCCCTTCTTTTTATTTAATTTTGATTGAATTGTTCTGGGTTTTTAGAAAGTCAACTTTTTATAAAGCCGGATCATAATCCTATTGTTCATGTTCTTATATTTTTATAGGAGCTGTTTAGATTGGAGTGTTTACAGCTATGATTTGCTTGAATTGATTTCTTGACATTAGCTTACAACTATCTTGTTTTTCATAGCCAACCCATTTGTAAGCCATTTTTACTTGTACTCAATTGATGTTGATGATAGGTCCTTAAATGGGAGGATGTGGAACTTGAGGAACCCAAAGAGGGTGAGATACGTATTAAAAACAAAGCTATTGGACTTAATTTCATCGATGTCTATTTCCGCAAAGGAGTTTATAAGGCTGCTACCATGCCCTTCACCCCAGGTTTGTTTAAATTATCTCTAAGTTTAAAAGTAGAACAAGTTTTACATTATGGAAAGTGAAAAACTTTCCTGGATGATATGATATTTGATGTGTTTTGCTGACTAGATAGTGGGTTGTGTCAAAGTCTAGTATCAAGAAAGTCAATTCAGTCTTTTCTCATTGATCATTGTCTAAATACTACTCCTTTGACCATTTTGTCATCTTCAATTTTAGGGGTACTTTCATTGGACAAATTATGTGAATACCTAGAACTTCTGGAAAAATAGGGGAGTTAGATTTTAACAAGAGAGTCGCATAGAAGTTTGTGAATTCAACTAAATTACTCTTATGGTAAATTATTGATACTTATTTCTATATCATACATTTCATTGTGTAATTTTAGCACTCATCTTACTTTACCATAGTTGTCAAAGTTTTATATGTTAGATCTTCAAGATAATGATCAGCACGATCAAATATATTCCATCTTTAAACCCTTTCTTATGTCTATCTTTTCTTTTTATTTTTGTGGATAAATGAAGGTCTTATGACTAACATAACCAGTGGCACTTTAGATCTCAGATGCAATCTGTATAAACTTGACATTAAAATCTGAATGAAGTAATTCTTTCTTGGTTCTTTTCAATAAGTGTTCCGTGTCTGCTTTTCCTTGAATGACTTGAATGTCCTGAAGTTTGTAGCACACTGAACTCAAATGGGATGAGAAATCATTATGTATTAGTTTTAGTTGTTGGCTAAAATTAATATGAAATGCTTTCTGTGTTTTTGGATGCACAGGATGCATTGATATGGTGGTTTTCAATCCACTCCTGAATTGGTTGTGGGAGTTTTTTTTTTATCACATATTAGCGAACGCCATGTATTAGGAAAAAGGCTATGTTTATTGTGTTAATATACATCTTTGCCAATGATAGTCATCGCAGAAATCATTTGCTTACCTTCTTTAATTACAGGTATGGAGGCTGTTGGAGAGGTGACAGCTGTGGGACCTGGACTAACCGACAGGAAGATTGGAGATGTTGTAGCTTATGCTGGTGGTCCTATGGGTTCATATGCTGAGGAGCAGATTCTTCCAGCGGACAAAGTTGTTCCGGTTCCTCCTTCTATTGACCCTGTTATTGCTGCATCCATCTTGCTGAAGGGTATGACCACCCAGTTTCTAGTACGTCGTTGCTTCAAGGTAGGTTGCATGGATACAAGTTGTTTCATAATTATAATCATAATATAGGTTTGGTGTCTTGGTTTTTTTTGTTTTCTTTCTCTTTATCCCGGCATTAATGCTCATTTGCTGATCTTATTTTAATTGAGAAACAGACTCTTAATTATATTAACAAAAGTTGTAATACAATGTCATGTAATACAGGTTGAATCTGGTCACACAGTTCTTGTTCATGCTGCAGCTGGCGGGGTTGGATCTTTATTATGCCAGTGGGCACATGCCCTTGGTGCCACTGTTGTTGGAACTGTCTCAACCAAAGAGAAGGCAGTTCAAGCAAAGGAAGATGGATGTCACCATGTCATAATTTATAAGGAAGAGGATTTTGTTTCCCGTGTCAATGAGATAACATCAGGCAAGGGGGTTGAAGTGGTATATGATTCTGTGGGGAAAGATACCTTTCAGGTAATGGCTGTTCTGTTTCCTTATTCTACTCATAATTGAATGGAATAGATCTCCATATTATAAGGTGTGCATTTGAACTTCTATTGGTACTTTGGAATGATGTCCTATCATCTAATTAGTTCTTTGCTTCTTATGTTCTTTCCTGCTGCAGACGATACACCTTACTTTAGAATGAATCTATATTATTGAACTTAAGCCATTAAAGAATTTAGGATATCAACGAAAGGGCCAAATGATATGCGTAATTTCTGCAAACTTTGTGGACTGAAAATTTTAGTTTTTTTTGCACGGAGCCAGGTTTCTTTTTTGCACTCTTTAAACTTTGTTATGAAAGCATTCCTACTAAAAGTTATTTTTCTTAGGGCTCCTTGGCATGTTTAAAGCCTCGTGGGTATATGGTGAGTTTTGGGCAGTCTTCTGGTATACCAGATCCAGTTCCATTGCCTGCACTTGGAGCAAAATCTTTGTTCTTGACTAGGCCTTCCATGATGCAATACACATCAACTCGGGATGAGCTGCTGGAAACTGCAGGGGAGGTGTTTGCAAATGTTGCATCAGGCATTTTGCGGGTGCGTGTGAATCACCAGTACCCTTTGTCCCAAGCAGCACAGGCACATGAAGACCTTGAGAATCGTAGAACAGCTGGATCAGTTGTGCTTATTCCATGAGGCATCAGAAGAAATCTCTATTATATTCTAATTTGTCTATGAACTCTGTTTGCATGAAAAATAAGTTAGTTTATTGTAACATGTGTGGTTATGTGAGAACTTCAACTCCAGATATGACACTGTATGTTTGAAGGTTTGAAACTGATGTCCTCTTTGAGGAACTGTTATATACCTCACCTTATTTATGGTTGCTGCATTTCCCAAGAATCTCTTCGGAACTGATCTATGTGGTATTTGTAACCTAAGGTGCAGAGGTTTAGCCATTTGGGGCAATTGGGTTAAATACTTAAAATCTTAAGTCTATGCGGTGGCACACTTGATAATGGAATACTGTAATCTTTGAAAGGCCAAAAGGTTTTATGCTTTTGAATATACGTACGAAACATTAACTCTTACGGTTAAAAAAGAAAGTGAGTAAACGAATCCTATTTTCCTGTCATTTTCCTGTGGAAATTTATTAGCTCCTGGAAGAAAATGTGGCGTAGTTTAGCCATTTTTATTGACTTAGAACTTCTGGAGATGGAGAAAAAGTAAACTTGTTCATATATACCATCTAATTAAACCGAATTAAAAACTGAAACAAGCAGGAAATTTTATACCACTCCTAGAATTCCCATGTTTATTTAGTAAATAGTATCAATTTAACAATTTAGTAAGTAGTATCAATTTAACACAATGGGTAATGTACAATACTTGAATAACAGTTTTCTCGTTGGATAAAAATATTTAAGAGTTAAATTTATATAGTCAATGATAGAGCAGTGTTAAAGATAAGGACAATGCTGTATTTTCTCCAGATGATAAATTACTAGATAAGTATATACCTGGAACGGTGATTATGAGCAGAGATCAGATTGAATAGCCTTTTGGTTCCTATTCCTTGTGTTCATCCATAGAGGTAAGGCTTATGTTTTATGTATAGCTAAGTCGAAAGCCTGTCTGGTTTTTAAGAGAAAAAATCGTGGGTTTCTCCCTTTGGAGCTCGCAGAACATGGAGCGGTTGGCTGACAGGTTTATGGAAACTCCATCTAAAAAATCAAATTGGAAAACTCCATGGAAACATTTATTTCAATCTAAACCTCTCAGCTTAACCCAATTTCCCTCTTCTTCAGATGCATCTTCCTCCTTCAAATCCAGTAAGCACTATCAACTGATAATCTTTTGTAAATCCTTTCCTTCAATTCCTTCGTTATCTAAAAGATTGAACAACGTCAAATAAACAGGAGAAGATGTTTCGAGGACGGGTCATAACGAAAAGTTGAAAAAGAAAAGCAGCAATTTCGCATCCAGGATCATTGACCACGGTAACCATCTTCTTTGATTGTAATCAATGTAGAACAAATATACTATAAGGATTGTGCTGATGTTTAAGAATGTTGCAGTTAACATGGGGTCCAAGTTGTCTGAAACAGTGAAGGGAAAGCTGAGTTTAGGGGCAAGAATAATTCAAGAAGGAGGAAGGGATAATGTTTTCAAACAAATATTTGCCTTGAGAGAAGGAGAGGAGCTGCTAAAGGCTTCCCAATGCTATCTATCAACAACAAGCGGTCCTATTGCAGGACTCTTGTTTATCTCTACTGAAAAGGTTGCCTTCTGCAGTGAAAGATCAATCAATGTTACTTCTCCTGCCGGACAATTGATTGGAACAATACCTTACAAGGTTAAACATTCTCCATTTTCTTTGTTTTACTTCAAAAAAAGTTCATAACAGTGAATTAATGCTGCAGGTTTTGATACCAATAAGGAAGATGAAAAGAGCTAACCAGAGTTGGAACGTGAACAATCCAGCACAAAAGTACATAGAAATAGTGACATGGGATGGTTTTGAGTTCTGGTTCATGGGTTTTTTAAGGTATGAGAAAGCCTTTAATAACATTCAAAAAGCCCTTTCTTTGGCCAGCTAAGTTCAGATTATTAAAAAGGGCTTTCATTCCTACTTGAAGATCGAAAAATCTCCAATTTTCCTTGGGAAAATTAACAGGTTAGGGAAATTAAGCTAAGGAGAAGTTTCTGATTATGCGAGTATACACATTTGTATTCACATTCTATCACAGAATAGTAAAGAAGAGTTTTCCTTTCTTTTTGTGCCGTCCAATGTTGACTGTGGATGATTTAAGAAAATTTTAGAAGAAAAGTTTGGACCGGCTCCATGTGCCCAAGAATGTGCCTAGGCACTGTCCAACACACAATATACCATCCGCCCATGTATTATTTTTTTTTTTAATTAAGATTTATCACATCTGATCAAACATAACTAGTTAATATCGATTAATTTGTTAAAAATTGTATGTATTTCATTTATAAGATTAAGATTTGATTTTTGTTTTCAACAATTTTTTTAATGAATAATTTATGAGTTTAATATAAAATTTATGATATATCTTGATCCTGTAATACAATAATCTTTCTTCATTTAAATTTTTTAAAATCAAATGAAGAATATTTGAGAATATTAAGAAGTATTCCATCCAATTTTTCATATTATAACAACACTTATGTGATCTTGCAATATAATAATCTTTTCTCGCTTAAATTTTCAAATCAAATGATGAAACAGTTCACTTTATGAAATATTAAATTGTGTCATCCATATGTTATGAATTTTTAACCTCCAACCACACTCCACAGTTGAAAAATATAGACCATTGACGGATGGCATGGCAGATGTTGGGGTTCAGTCGTTCAGCATTAAGTAAATACCGGAAGCGGGTTCACTTAGATAAAAAAAACCTAGGCAGTGGGCCAAAGCTAACCATTGGTCCACTCCACGAGCCTTTGTAAAGTACTAGTAGACCAGGCGTTGGTTGACTGGACTAGAAGTGCAACAAAAGAATATTGTATGTATTTGTATCCTATGTAAGAGCATGTGGGGAACTAATAAATTTCAGCGCAATATTTAGTTCCTCATTTCTCATTACTCTGACTCTACCCTCTGGTGAAGTACTTTTTTACCCCCTCTATTTTTTTCACTAATAAAATTTGGTAAGAAAAGTAAATTATTAGTAATTTATAAAAATGATAAAAATAAATTCAAACTCAAATTAATTAAAATCAATATGATTGGAATTCATAATAAATTTAATATTAAAAATTAAAACTATAGAATTTTTATTTAAAATTTTGATTACCAATTTTCTTTTATCTCAAATTAAAATAATTTCATTGTGAATTGAAAATCCAAAATTATCTTGAACCTCGTTTTAGCTTGCTTGCTTGCCACATCCAATAATTTGCTCCCTTTCATTGGGGGAAACGAATTGTAATCAAAGTCATAGTGGTGAATTTGAAAACGTTGTGCAAACAATAACTGCATCCCCCAATACATAGTATTAGACGAAAATGCTCTGCTATTGGCAAAAAAAAAAAAAAAGACAAAATTGCTCTGCTCAAATAAGCAATAAAATCATTCCATTAAACAAAAAATTTATAAATGAACAAATGATGCCAATTCAAAATACAAGTAATGTGTAGAATAATGAAATAATATAGGGGTGTAAATGAATAGAAGTTTTGATAAATTGTTCATAAACATGATCGGTTTTTATTCGTTTATTAAAAATAACAAATGATTTTAAATAATATTTTTATATTTATTTATTAAATAAATCAAATATGAACAGAAGCTTGTTTCGTTCGTTTATATTCATGAATAAATTTATTTAAAATTCGTTTAAAATTTATTTATTTATTATTTGTTTGTTATTCATTTATAATAATAATAACAAAATTATTTTTTTATTTTTTTATCTTAACCCTATTTTAAAATTCGTTTGTAATTTATTTGTTTAAATTTGTTTGATTATAATTTATTTATTTTTCATAAATATATTTATTTATATATGTAAGTGAATATGTTCATTTAATATTTACGAATGAACTCGTTTACAAATCGAACATGAATCAAATACGAATATTTTATTATTTAAATGAATCGAATTCAAATGAACAAATCAATTTTCTTACCAAATATGAACCGAACTTAAACAAATAAATTACATATATACATTCATTTATTTATATTTGTATTTGGTTTGTTTACAATCCTAAATGTGTAAGAATGATAATGCTAATAGAAATAGAAATAACTCTCTAGATTGCAATGCGAGAAGCATCCGAAATATAATTTAATTAATTTATGTATTTATGTAATTAATTTTTGGATTTGCTTTTTCGTAAAAAAATAAAAATTGAGGTAAAGAATGTAAAATAGTAAATTGGACCTAAACAGCTTTTCTTTTGGTGGGGGGAGAGATTCATGGAGGGGAAATAAAGCTCACGTGAGATACAACACGTCCGGCGCATTTAATCATAACCTTTCTGATCTCTCTCAATTCTCAAATGCTGCATTGCTTCCTTCCTTCCACTACTAACAGAAAATTCCCTTCACTCACTCTCTCCACACCTTCTTCCCTACCCAAACACCAGCTTCTCTTATATATTTCCTCTCTGCTTTCTTCATTTTTTATCCCAAATCTCATTTCAATCCAAACACTTAATTGCAGACAAGCTTTTGAGTTTAGATTCTTGAATCAGCTCTTCCACCCAACGTCAAATTTTATAATTTGATACCCAAAGGTACATTTTCCCCTCTCCCATATTTTATTCTTATTTCTGTTTTGATTTGTTACTTTGCTTTGCTGTTTGGTTCGCAAGCAATCGCGGGAAAGAAAAAAATAAGAGGAAGAAAATTTTAAGTAACTAGCTAGAGATTTTTGTACTCCGAATAATTAGTTCCATTCTAAAATTAGTAATGAACTCTACATGTTTCAGATTCAGCTCCATTAATTTTTTTTTTCTCTTTTCTTCTTTTGATCTTTGATCGGTGTTAAAGCTTCACTATCTTATTTAAGTATTTCTCAACCTTTTTTTTTTTTTTTTTTTTCCTAAATTAGTAGTCGTAAATTGGAATCTTTTTCTTACAACACAGCCGCAATATTAATTTCATTACCATATTTAGAAATATGGTACTACGTATGTTCTTACATTTTCAGTCTTTCTCGGAAACCCTAACTCATCACTCCTCCATGCATCTTTATGTGTTCAAATTATTCTCTCAAACCAATTGTTTGATCCAACTTTTTTCTGTTTTCGGATTAATTCATGTTTTTTGTAATTTATTTATTTATTTGTAATTTGTAGATCTGAACGCATTGCATATCAATGGAGAAAAGGTGGCGTAAACTTGATGATGAAGCCGCAGCTGCTACGAAACTCACTGTAATCTGTCACTCTCTCTCTGTCTCATTTCATCGCACGCTTTTTCCTCCGCCTTCTGTTATTCCTTTGCTTTCTGTTACACTCCGATTCTCTTTGATTCTCTCTTCCCCCACACGGGCACGCATACTCAGGCGCCCTTATTCACACCAACTACACGCGTCATATATCAAAAGGGACGTTTTCAATTTGCCGCGAACAAGAGAAATCCTTCTGTCTACTACGCGCCCAACAAAAACGCGCATCGATACTCTACCTTACCTGCGTCGCTTTTTCATGTCTTTTTTTTTCATGAAAGCCTGTTTTCATGTACAAAAACTGATATCCAGATCGTATTTTTTTTATTATGATGTTAAGAGAGGAAGTTGGGACATGGGTAAGTGTGGGTACTGTTTGGAATGGCAGGAGATGATGTACTTGAAAAGGGAAGGGGGACAGTGCTCCGACGGCGACGCAATGAGGCTTTGTTTGGGCAGACAACTACTGCTGCCTTCTTCACCCGATTCTACCCTTGGTAAACTCAACCTTCTCTTTATGCACCATATCTGCCCTTTCTTCCTTTCTTTGTTTTTTTATGTTCCATTTATGGCCTTCTTTTTACTTCAAATTCACATTTTATGGTCTCCCTCTTCATTTTCTCCCACATGTCTGATCTTTATTTATTTATTTGATACAGACGCTGCAGCTCATATTAGAGTTGGGTCTTACTACGAACTTGATCACTCCAAGATTCCCATTAAAACCCCATACCAACTAAAGTTAGTTCGAGTTATCATGGTAACAAGCCCTCCCTCGAATGAATTAAAAGGATAAAGAAAGAAACACATTTGTTTTTCAGTTCGCGTTTTCAATCCTGGATTGGTGGTAACTGGTGTTGTTGTTGTTTGCCAGGTGAGCAAAAAGTCCAAGTGCAGCGTGTCATTAAGGTTTCCAAGCATGTATTCTCTCCGGGCACACTTCAGGAAGAGCAACCGAAGAAAACTGGAGGCAAAGATTTTACCCTTACTGGATGAACAGTATGCAATGGGATCGGAGCTAGCTGGAGATGTTTTATATCGTAGGATCCCACCACATGAAATTGCAGTGCAAAGGAATCAATGGGGCTTTTGGGTTGTGGATTATTCCGAGGAACAGAAAACAGGGAAGAGCCCAAGCCCAGCTATCATTACCAGCTATGTTAACGTGGTCTGTAAGAAAGGCTTGTGCTGGTCTGAACTGAAGTCCACAGGGATGGTCCAGTGGGGTCGGCGTAGGCAAGTTAGGTTTTTGGGTCACCACGTGGAGGAGACGCGGGAACGGAGTTTGTCAAGGAGTGTTAAAGGGCAAGAGGTAGAGAAGGGAAACAAAGACGATGAAGATGATGAAGGTGAGGAAGAAGAGAAAGAAAAAACCGTGAGTGATGACGAGAACACGGAGGCAGGCAGGATGAGCTCTAAGAGGAAGCTCCATGGACCAAGCTTCAGAACCCAGATGCCAAAGAAAATAAAGCATGAAGATCAACAAATTACTCTTTACAAGCCAACAAAGAGAAAAGAAATCAAGAACTCCATTGAAAGATGGTCTGTTCAGAGGTGAGCTGTAGTTATTTATTTCGTATAGCTTGTTGTATTAATTGCTTATAAAGCTAGTTTCTGATATTGATGAATGTATGTTATAAAGGTATAATTTAGCTGAGAAAAACATGTTGAAGATTATGAAGGAGAAGGGAGCACTGTTTGGGAACCCAATGCTCAGGCCAGCATTGAGAGCAGAGGCTAGGAAGCTGATTGGAGACACTGGTTTGTTGGATCATTTGCTGAAGCACATGGCTGGGAAGGTCGCTCCTGGAGGTGAAGAAAGATTCATGAGGCGGCATAATGCCGATGGGGCAATGGAGTATTGGTTGGAGAGTGCTGATTTAATGGATATCAGGAAGGATGCTGGGGTGCAGGATCCTTATTGGACTCCGCCTCCTGGTTGGAAGCTTGGTGATAACCCCACCCAGGATCCTGTTTGTGCCAGAGAGCTCAAGGAACTTAGGGAAGAGATAGCTAAACTGAAAAAGTATGGACCTTTCAGTCTTTTTACTATTTTATAACACGGTTGCACAAATGTAATTTCTCCTTAGAAGTGATTTGTCCTCTACTGGTATTGGTCTTTATACGTGCCATATGATTCGAATTGCTTTCATTTCTGAATGTTCAAAAAGGGGAATGCTGGAGACCAAGAGTGAAGGAGATATTGCCCTAGTCACCACCCCAAATTCTTCTGTTGCAAGCCAAAACTTGGTTCATGATACCGCTATGTTACATCCATTGAAGGTAGATATTAAATCTTGAATTATTTTGTTTACCATCCCGTATATTCTTTTCTTAGCAATTTCTTGGATTGTTGCACAGGATAAGTACGTGAACTTGATGAATATGAAATCTAAACTAGAGGAGCAGCTGGCGGAAATTGCACAATCTTTGTGTACAATGGAGGTATTCATCAGGCAGTTTGGTTCCCCTGATTGAAGTTTATATATACTGTTACTTGAAAAAGCATTCTACATTATCTGATGATGACATGACATGGATGAATCATGCAGCAAGAGACGGGGAAGCTAAAATCTATAGTGGAAGATCCACTACTAATAATGGGATCAACGGCATCACCATTAGGCACTGAAAAAGAGGTAAATGAAATGGAGAAAAGTAACAAAACTGTACTGGTAATAGCAGATGAAGAAGAAAAAGATATTAACGCAGAAGGAAAGAACCAAGCAGTTCCGAGAAAAAGAAGAAACGCAGTGGCAACAACAGAGGACAAGGCAGCAAAAGTTGAAAGGCTAAAGAGTGGGTTCAGGATATGCAAACCACAGGGGACCTTCCTATGGCCAAACATGGCCTTGCCCCATCAGGTTGTTGTCCCAATCGATGACCTACTTGTGATCCCCCCTCCTCCCACTATCGGCTCTTCCACTACCACAGCGCCCCGCCTCGTCCCTAGCCCTCAAGAACATTGGCCTCAGCCAACTTCCACCATCAAACCATTGGCTGAGACGCGAAGTACTGCTGCTGTTAATTTCTCAGCCACGACTGTCAGCAGACACCCTCCTCCTATGCCTCCGGAGGACACCACCGCCCAATATGCAAATAATAGTATCATCTCCAACAAAACTAGTACGACTACCACCAAAACTACTCTCATCAATCTCAACGAAGTCCCTGGAAATCCCCATGACCTTGGATTTTGTGGGTCTTACAATCAAAGTCACACCTCACCGTGTCCTCTCACGTATCAGAGAAGACATCACAATTTGACAACCTCTGCTTCCATGCCACGAGTATGTTCCCGCAATATCCGTTTCACTAAAATTCGTTTATTTTGTGTATCTTAACAAAGCGTAAACTGACTTTTATGAACTCGAATTACCGCATTCTTGTACAGATGATACCTGCTAAGAAAGAGAACGAGATGAGTCAATGGGACGGAGGCAATCGCCAGCACCAAAGGGGATACTCCTCCTCACCCTCTTCTCATCGCATGTCAGTGGGAGCAGGAACTTGGTTGGCTCTGTCTACTCCTAGCTCTTCCATGGACAATATACCTAGAAGAGTCTAGAAGAACAGTCCTATTATTATCATCTACAATAAAACCTTTATACAGGGAATTTTTATTAAAAAAAATTTATATTGGAATTAGGGGAACTATATCAGTCTGACTGCGGGTTTTAACTTGTAGCCAAAATGTGGTGAAAATTTTCTTTGGGTACAAGGTACTCTAGCTAGCCTCCTGTTATGTCTATGTATAGCATAAAGATACAAGTACGAGAATAGGTGATCGATTGAACGGCTTTGGTTGAAATATATACATATATATATATATATATATATATATATATAAAGGGCTCTTAAAGATCGAAGCAGTTTCAAAGATTCGAGCTTTGAAAGCGCTTCTCCAGTCCAACCCATTTGTCCCATAAGCTGCTCCACACCAAAGAAACTAAATGCGCTTTTGAGAGATAAGAGAAGGTATAAATTTGTGTGCAAAGAGGTGGGGCCGTTGGGAACCAGCAGCTGGCAGTAGTCAAAGACCTTTCGGACCATGCAATGGTTGCCTTCTGCTGATATCTTAGTTACGCTTCCGATTAAATCCAATGAGTATTTTGTTTTTTCAATAAAACTATTAAACTATGTCTCAGAATGGTTTGATTCAATATTCATAGATGTTAAATGAATAATTTTGAATTTTGATAATTTTGTATATGGAATCAAGAAATTTCATAACGATTATGCTAATTTTAATATGAAAATCCATTCATATATTCTGTTAATAAATTACTAAATTATTAATTTTAATGATCAAGATCTATACTTAATAGCTTCAAATAAAAGAATTCTAGCATGAAGGGAAAAAATTGATGTCAAAAAACGAATTTGTATTGAACGGAAAAGAAACTTGACGAAGATTTATATAATATCATGTAGAAAGGTACAAGGAAAGAAATACACAAACACAAAGCACTTGAGAAACTCAAATACAAGCATTTAGTGTCATAGCCATTCCTAACCAAATTAAAAGTGATACAGGAAATAATCACACCATTGTTATTTAGATAACAAACAATAATGGATCCATGTTTATTGTCCAAAGCTTTATCTCACATTTTCTAAAGCCTGGCATATTGTAAATTGGAGCTGGGAACTTGAAAGTTAACGAAGTCAGATAATATTGCCACAAGCCTTTTTATATCCTCTGTTGTGTGTGCTGCAGTCAAAGTAACCCGTAACCTGAAAACAAAAAACAAAACCATTGAAAGGAACAATGGGGAAATTAAAGGATAAGAAAATGCCCATTGGTACAATTTCAATGCAAAACTATCAATGATGGAGATAATATTCTTGGCCTGAACCTAACTGATCTATAGCTCTTATATTGACCTCTTTCCAAGTTTGTAAATGTACATTTCTCTAAAATTATTGTTGGTGAGTAAACTTAATTAGTAATAATTAGGAAGAACATGGAGATAAAAAATAAGGACAAGGAAATGAAACCTTCCACTGTTGGGAGGAACTGCTGGGGGTCCGATTGCCACGACAAAGAAACCGGCTTCTAACAATACCCTAATTAATCAATAGCAATTGACACTGTTAGAAGCTGTATGGATAATGATAATTGGTGATAAAGAAAGAGGTTGATTAGAGAACAAACCGGGCCGCTTTGTAAGTTTTCTCTGTACTTCCTACTATAACGGATAGTATCTGACTTGTGACAGGGATTCCTGTTAGAGCTTGGAACTCTTGCATCCGTTTCCGAATTTCCATTCTTCGCCATGGTTCTTTTCTTGCCACTACCACCGAAGCTGATTCATATATTGTTTTCAACATAATCGGCAGCATAATATCAGTTGATCCCTTGCATAATATTTGATCATTTGTGCAACCCAATGTACTTATCGTTAAGGCAAAATCAAGGAGTTTTGAACTTTACCATATGACGCAGCAGTTAAGGGAATTGGTGCAATGGTTGAGAATATGAAAGAACGACCCCTTGATTGAAAGAATTGCTTCCAAATTTTGCTGTTCATGTAACATTCAGAGATAAAAAATTCGTATAAATTTTTTCCCATTATTTTAACTCTTGGTGTACTTGGAACATATACTGATGTTACCTGCATGTTATGAATCCTCCAAGAGAACCTGCTGCCTTACTCAGAGTGCCGATGCATATGTCAACATCGTTTTCACAGTTGAATTCCTCAGCTACTCCCCCACCATTTTTGCCCCAAACAAACGTCCCATGAGCCTGAAAAGTGAAAAGCTTTTAGCATGATTATTTTTTATCCTTGAGTCAACACAACAAGATCTTAGTCTATACACCAAATATGATATACCAACCTATTCTAATAATTTCCCTAAAGACTTGAATATTTAGAAGTACTTACATCATCAAGGACGAACAGAAATCCATGCTTCTTGCGAAGCTCAACCAGCTCAACCATGGGTGCAAAGTCTCCATCCATACTGAACAAGCTGTTAAAAGCAGAGAATATCAAATCTTGGTCCCCCATTTTCAAGATTAATTTATTTTAAATTTTGTCAGCTAAAACAGCAATGAAAAGTTAATATAGAATACCTATCTGTCACCACCACTTTTCTCTTCATTTTGCAATTTGTTCTGTGAAAGTAATTCATGTATGTGAAAGCTTGTTGAAATTAAAAAAAACCACAAAAAAAGGAGTATTGAAATGATAATGTTAAAAAAAGAATGAACGTACAAGAGAGCGTCGAGGTGAGACATGTCACAGTGTTTATACACAAAATATTCAATTCCTCCATGTCGTGCAGCGAGTTTAAGACCGTCAACAATCGATGCGTGGTTAAGTGAATCAGAAAATATGGCAAGTTTTTCTTCCTTAGTTGGCCTCCCTCCTGCAGACAACAACGGGGCAAGGCTTCCAAGTGCTACAATCACCGCCATATTGGCTTGAAACCCTGAAGGGCAAAGAAGACAGGCCTGGAACATGCATCTCAATGCCCCAAGCCAGTTATGTATATAGTTTATGATAGAAATTTCAATAATTTGAATATAAATGTTGAGAAAAGAATAAAGAATATAAAAAGACTATAAAAAAATACAATGAAAAAAAGAATTAAGTCAATTTTTTTATTGTATTTTTTATTATTAATTATTAATAATATTTATTATTTATTCTTAATTATTATTAATATTTTCTATTTTTATATGTTATTTTTTTTGTTATTTTCTCTCCCAGATCCAAGCCATTGAAAAACCATGTTTTGTTTTCTTTTTCCTTAATAAAAATTATGAAGTGTATCAAATCCTTTGCTAAAAGTGTTCAAAAAAAAAAAAACCAATTTGTCCGATAAATAAAAATGTAAAAGCTAGCGCATATATATTCACATACATACCTTTTTATTCTTTAATTTGGCCAAGCTGGACTCTAGTGCTATGTGATAATCGGTGTATCCACAGATCAGTGGAGATCCCCTCGGCCCTGTTCCATGTTCCAATACCGCCTGAAAATAATAACAATAAAGCAACACATCAATTTTGTTTAATTTTACAAAAAAACAAAGGCAAAAAAATCAGTGATCATGATAGATACACACCTTGGCTGTAGCTTTTGCAATTGCCGGATGCCTACTCAAACCCAGGAAATCATTGCCAGCAAATAGAAGTAGCTTCCTGAATCGCTGCTGTGTCCAGCCTTCAGCATCTTCTAATTCATTTTTGCTGCAAATTTCGCCTTCTGCATGCAACAATCATATATGTAAGTACTCTCCAAAACAAAAACTCAACAATGCTTAGAATCGTTGTGAGATTTCTAAAATGAGATTTCTAATATATAATAACATGTGTATTCCATAACTCAATAAGTCTTTGCTTTATAATTACGTATATAAATATTACATATTGTTATGATTGAATTAATATCACGAGTTAAGAGTCGTTGACTTAATGGGTGAATTGATAAAAATAAAAAAATAAAAATAAAAATTTATGTATTAATAAAGATATATTAGTATATTTTTTTCTTTTCATTTAAAATGGGATTTGAATTTACGTATTTTACAATTAAAATGATTTTGCCTATTTTTTCTTCTCTTTTAAATAACTGTAATATGTACTTAAGTTACTTTCATATTTTTCTCGTAATTTTTTTATTTGTCTGTCATTTGACATTTATTTAAATAAAAAAATTATTATTGTTTCACGCACATAGTTGATGTACGTAAATGACTAGTAACCTTAATTTTATTTGACAAATATACTATTAATATAGGGACTGATCGTTGGTGTAAAAATAATTAAATCATAGTAAAAATAGAAAATAAAGGATAAAAATATCATTTACTATGATTAATTAAAGGCACAAAGATGAAAAGAGCACTCAAATAAAAATTTAATAGTGATTTAAGCCTATAATATTTTATTACAATTAATTAAATTCTGAATCTTTTACTTTAAATCAATTGGGTCTTTAAATATTTATTTTTCTTTACCCAAATTTTTATACATTTATTTTCACTCAATTAACATTCAATTAGACAAAAATAATTGACAAATTTTCCTCTTAAAAAAACTCAATCGATAAAAATAAATATTTAAAAATTTAATTGATTGTAAAAAAATAACAAGAGCTTCAATGATTATTGAACTTTAATTTAAGGAGGTTTTTTTTTTTGCCCTTCAACCTTAATTAAATTATCTACACTTCAATTGAAAACATTTAGATAATATTTAATAGTTACGTAAGTTCTATTTGTCACATTATGTTTAATCGACATAATGGATGTGCCACATCATAGTAACATATATTTATGAATGTGAATATAGTAGTATAATTATGAATGTGAAGTCAATGGAGGAAAATGAGGTACCCTCAACCAATCGTTGAAAAAAAGTTTCAGGGATTGAGATTTGAACAGAGAGTCGATCCCAAGGCTGAATTCCCTGGAATGTCTCGTATTCGTCTTCGTCCAACTTGGGTGGAGCTGCCTCTTGTTCTTGTTTTACACTTGCCACACGCATTGGTCTCAGAGGCGTAAACAACCTGCCTGGCTCAAGCTTTAGAATTGCTTCTTCAATCAACAAATCCCATGAGCTCTTCCCCATTGTTAATTTCCCCATTTCAAATTCAAATCGTGTCTTTAATTTCGCAATGCGTTTGTAAAAGAGACAGGAAAGAGGAACTTTGTTTCAATTGCTCTAACGATATTCTTTAATTCTATCTATATTTAAAGTGATAGTCCCCTACCACATACATATTATTTTAATAATTGAAAATTCCAAAGCCACGTCCTTTAAATCCAACGTGATTTCTTTTCTATTTTGCACCACTCATGTTGGAATGTGATAGGATCCACTAGATATTATATATAAAAAACATGATAATTCTAAAATATATACATGATAAGTCTAAAATAATTCAGTGATAGGATGCACGTGAACTACTTTAAACCTGCCTAGTTGAAACTGTATGATAAGGCTTCATTTGATTGATTTTTTTTGTCAAAAGTTAAATAAATAAAATTAAAAAAATTAATTTATGTAAAAAAATGGAGCCAGTTCCATTTATTATTTTATTATGAAATATGAGATTGATCCGTTCTGTAATAAATATTCTCTTGTTCTATTGAGTGGATTTTTGCAATAAATTTGAGTTAATGATTGAAATTTTTCTTTTTTCCAATCTTGATTTTCGTAAAAAATTAGGTCAGGAATTATGGTTTTAATTGAATCGAAGAGATCTGAATTCATATCAGTGTCATAGAACATAAAATTTTTTAACTTAGATATCATATGATTGGATATCATGTATATAATTATATGAGAAATTATCCTATTCACTTATAAAAGAGTATTTAAATTTTACAACTATTAGGATGACATAAACCCTTACTACATATATATGTATGCATACATATACATATATATATATATATATATAATTCTTGTCATAACATATATATTTGAAAATTTGTAACTAAATTTAACAAATGGAATCACCATTAATATTTTTTATTAAGTGTGATTGGTCACCTAAAGAATCTGTTCTCTTAAAAAGCTCTTAGACTTGACTAAAGGTCTTTAAAAAAATAGGTTCGGGTCTACAAACCAGAATATGGTTCGAAAGTTTTGTTACATGTGGGGAAGATTATAGCACCCTCATATGCTCATCCGAAAGATGGTACCATATTATTTTAAATTTATCCTAAAGTCCTTATTCTAATGGTTTTTAATTTTATATTGAATATTAAAAATAAATTTTAAGATTCTTCTATCAATCGGGTAGAACTCTTAAAAATATTTTCTCGCCTTAAGAATATTCAAGAATCTTATTTGATTTCTTGAAGAGATTACGTCACCGAAAAAAAAATTTAATTATTTTTATTTGTTGAAAATACATCTAATTATTCTACTAGGTCAAATTAGAAATATATATTTTTTAATTTTTAAATTCTCCACCATTTTGACCTATTTAGAAATTTCTTTTTATTTCTAATTTTTTTACCATTTAGTCATATTTAGAAATTTTATTTCTTTTTCTTTTTTTTTTATCTTTGAAAAAAAATAATATGACAATTATTTTTATTGAAATTTCATCTAAATTATTCCGTCATTTGGGATAAATTTAGACAAAATTTTTCACCTAAAAATTTTATAAAAATTTACCATTTGATTAAAAATTTTATTATTGGATAATTATTATTTATTCTCAAAATTTTATTTTATTAAGTTTTACATGTTTTATTTTTTCTAAATTTAATCATGCAAAAATACTATGAAAATAAATACAATAAATTAATAAAATAATAATAATAAAACCAAATAGGAAAACGACTTAGCTCAATAGCTAAAAAGCTCGACTTAGCTACAGGGAGGAAAGTTGGAATGATTCAAAAAGTGGCTCGGCTTAAGACAAAGATTGAAAAAAATCGTCAGAATCTGAGAATTTTTCAGATTTAAAAAAGAAATTCTTTTTTTTAAACCTCAAAAAATCTTCAAAAAATTTTCTTGATTGTTTTCTCTTATTTCTACCTCTCTGCTTAATTTTTTTGTGTGATCTATGTGTGCATGTATTTATAGGGATTTGTGTCTGAGAACTCCAATCCAGAAAGGAATCCCAATTTTTTTTAAATTCTAACTTTAAACCAAACTCCAACTTTACAAACTAGTTCCAACAATTTCACACAAACTCAACTACCTTTTTTTTTAATTTTATTTTAGCTTTTTTATTTTTCATTTTTTGATTTTTTATAAGCAAAAATCACAAGTAGATTCTCGGACAAATTGGAGTATCTACAACTGCCTCTCTTTGCACATTTTTTGTGAAACAAGAATTGTGTAAAGACGTAGACAACCCAATCAACTGGGTAATTTTTTTTTTACTCAGACTCATTGAACAACATAAAACTCTCTAAACAAAGGCTTCCCAACTTTGAAAAAGTAAACAAAGCTTCTCTAAACAGAGCCTTAACGACTTTAGAAAAAATAAATCAAGCTCCTCTAATCAGAGGCTTAACAACTTTAAAAAATAAATAAGGTTCCTCTAAATAGAGGCTCAACAACTTTGAAAAAATAAATAAGGCTCTTTTAAGCAGAGACTCAACAACTTTGAAAAATAGAGGCTCCTTTAAGCAAATGCTCAACAACTTTAAAAAAAAAAAATAAATAAAGCTATTTTAAATAGAGGCTCAATAACTTTAAAAAATAAATAAATAAAACTCCTCTAAGCAAAGGCTCAACAAATTTGAAAAATAAATAAAAGCTCCTCTAAGCAGAGGCACAATAACTTTTATAAAATAAATAAATCTCCTCTAAGCAGAGACACAATAACTTTAAAAAATAAAAGCTCCTCTAAACAGAGGCACAACAACTTTAAAAAATAAAAAGCTCCTCTAAATAGAGGTACAACAACTTTGAAAAATAAAAGCTCTTCTAAACAGAAGCACAACAACTTTGGAAAATAAAAGCTCCTCTAAACAGAGGCATAACAACTTTGAAAAATAAAAAGCTCATCGACAATCATTTCCAAATGAGTCATGTTTATGTCTGAAGAAAATTTGTAATGAAAACTCAAAGATTCACAATTTAAGTTCAAAATTCAAAGGTTCAAATTCACAAGAACCTTTCAACTTCGTAAGAATTTACTAAAATTTGATTCTCAAAATTTTAGTTTCATAAGAATTTGATTTGTAAAATTTCAATATGTAAGAATTCAATTTACAAAATTTCAAAATTCACATTTTTGAGATTCTCATCCAAAGTTTTAATTCACGGATTCGCATGTAAATTACAAGGTGCACATCTAACATCTAAAGATTTTTATCTAAATTTTGGAGATTCACATCTAAAAGTTCACAGCTTCTTGTTCGAGTTCAAAGCTTCTTATTTGATAAATTGGGGTTCACATCCAAAAAGTTTAAAGCTTTTCATTCAGATTTTGGAGATTCACATCCAAAAGCTTCTCATTCGAGTTCAAAGGTTCACATTCAATAAATCTTAAAGTTTTACATCTAAAATCTCAAAGGTTCTCATTTGAAATTCAAAGATTTTCATTTGAAATTCAAAGACTCTCACTTGAGAATTCAAAAATTCAAAGCTTCTCATTTGAGGATTCACAATCTTGTCTTAAAAGACTTTATCAAAATATTCAAAACTCTTTTTCATATGACTTTCAAACTCTTATCAAAGTTCAAATTTTATATGTAATGAATGTCATGATCAATGATGCAATTGCTTTTTTAATGATGCAAATGCAACAATCTAAATCCTCACAATACTACAAATGTCATATTCTTAATTCTGATTCAAATGTTTACTACATAATGCAAGTGCATGGCCAAACTAAAGTTTTAAATATTCTCTAAACAACAATGCAAACGTAATGCATGTAATGTAGATGTCCATATCATGAAATTCAAATTACTGTGATAATATGGTTCTCAAGACCCCACCATCTTACAATTTTCCTTTTATAGCTCCTCAACACTTTAGAACAAGTTTCGTTAATCAATCCTTGTTATTTTTATCACTTGGTCACCATTCATAGGCTACTCAGCACTAACAATTCCAAAATAAGTTTCGTCCATTGCTTCATATCATTTAATCACAACTCACAGGCTTATCAGCACTAGCAATTTTAGAATAAATTTTGTCAATTGATCCATATTATATTCATCACTTAATTCATATTCACAGGCTTCTTAGCACTAGCCATTTCAGAATGAATTTTATCCACTAATCCTCATCATTTGATCGTATCTCACAAGTTATATCGATCAATCAATCACCATATTCATCATTTGGTCACACCATGTGTCCTTTTAAATCATTTTTTTAAGTTTTTACCATCTCTTCATTTTTTATTTTGCCTTCTATCATCTTGAATTTTTTTTAAAGAATGTAAAAATCTTTTATGTATATTATCATTCATTCATTATCATTTTAAATCATGATAAATATAATGCATTCATACATTCTCGATTTATTTTAGGGATACCACAATAAGAAAGCACAAGGTGAATTGAAAAAAAGGTAATTAATGAGAAATGAGTCTGTTATAAAAACAAATGGACAAAAGAACGAATTCAATAGGTTAAATGGTATGACAATGTCTAAACAATGAATGAAAGTAAGTCTGGTACAAAAACAAATGGACAAAGGAATGAATTCAATAGGGATGGTATTAAATGGTATGACAATGTCCAAACAATGAATTCTTAGACAATTCTTAACATTAATCTAGAATTCTTTTTCAAAAACACATTCTATTGACTTTCAAAATTGTTTTGAGCTTATTGAACTTTGCCTCAACTTTAAGGGATCTTTAGATGTCTTGATCTTCCATCAATTTGAACTGTCTATCCAACCTTCAACTTAGAGATTTTTTTTCTCAAATCGTCCTTTCGGGTTTTCAATTTGAGTCTTTTTTTCTCTTTTTTTCATTTTTTTTTATTTTTCTTTTTTCTCATACATTAACAATATCTTTCATAAATCAATCTCTAGAACAATGTAGCATGATTCTGTTGTTTCATCACAAGCATGCCTCAACCCAACATATGATCATTCAATTCGAGCACTCACATCTGACCTAAATGAACTTTTAAAGGTTGTAATATAAGCTATAGTGAGGGTTCATGAAAGAAATGGATAAAATAGGCTCAAAACATGTGTTTAAAGAGTTTAAAACTAAAGTATCATTCACCATTTAATGCAACTTGACATTTTACCCTATCATTTCACTATTTTTTTCTTTTTCATTTATCTCATTCCTCACAA